TGTGTGTGTGTGTGTGTGTGTGTGTGTGCGTGCGCGCGCGCGCGCGCGAGAGAGAGAGAGAGAGAGAGAGAGAGAGAGAGAGAGAGAGAGAGAGAATGACCTGTTAGGGTATATGTTTTGGGATGTGTGCAGGGTGAGCAGGGGAATGTGGATGCACTGGTGGAGATTGGGCATTGCTATCAGTATGGTCTTGGCACGGCGAAGGACGAAGAGGAGGCTGCCAAGTGGTACAGGCAAGCGGCTTCCTGTGGCAAGGAGATCACCCTCATGGAAGCCCCTCAGGCGCATGCTAATGGGAAAGCGGCACCGTCTCTCGAGGAGGATTGGCAAGACATGGAGGCTACAGATAAGGAGGTGGTGGCTCTATCTGAAGTGGATGAGTCAGAAAGTACCCCTCTTTTGGAGAAGTCTGCGCGTGATGACGGCCATTCTGCCATGTCTTCAGGTGCTCAGGGTTCTGGAGTCTCTTTTGCATCTATCTTAGGTATGCAGACCACCTCTGTCTTCCTCTCTCTTTTTGTGGTTGTTCACATTAATTCTTCTCTCTCCTTTTTGTTCAAATTTGCTGTATGATCCAACCGTCGGTAATGAATCTAGTAGTAAACGAAGTCTGCTACCTACTTCCCCCGAATTGGACGTATGGTCATTATAGCTGTATTTAGACTGAAAGATGCCCCAAATACAGCTATAATGACCGTACGTTGTATTTGGGGGAAGAAGGTAGCTCTGTGGTGACCATCGTGGTATTTGTCCTGTTGTCTGTCTGTCTGTCTGTCTGTCTGTCTATGTTTATGTTTTCATTTTTGGGGAAAGAAAAGTTGATGACACTGTGCATGTTGAAATCCATGCGGGATTTTAATGAATCCATGTGCCAAGAGCGGTACACAGATAGACAGACAGACAGACAGGAAGACACAGACACACACACACACACACACACACATAGTAAAAGAGGAGCTGTTGCCCCGAAGAAACCCCAGCTAGCCACAGTGCTAAGCACTTGTATTATGATTCACGATGCTTGCTAAAGAGGGGAAATTCTTTCATTGTTGAGCTGGCTCAACTCGTATCTGCTCGTCTGGATGTAATAGGGGCTGTTTTGGTGCAATTTTTAAAAAACACACACACGCACGGTGATAGAGAGAGAGAGTCATTTCTTGCCGACGTTGGTTGGTTGATTGATTGATTGGATGGTTGATATGTCTATTAAGTAGAACAGGAGTGGACCGCAGTGAGCTGTTTTCTGACTGTCTGAAGAAGCACACCAGTGGGAGGGATTGTTGATGTCCTCTCGGCCTAAGAAAAAAAAATAAAAATGGTAGAGATTTGTTTTTACATGCATTTTGATCGTTAAGATGTGTTTGTGCTCGGTCCCGTCTCTTCCCATCCTTTTGTCCTCCTCCTATGTGGTGGTGCAGCCAAGAAAAATACACAGCAACAACCATCGCTCGTGGGGTTGGTTCAGGCGGTTGTCTGGCTTCGCAGGGCAGCAGAGCAAGGGGATGCTGTCGCACAGAACAAGCTTGGTATTTGCTGCGAAAATGGCGAGGGTGTTGCTGCGGACCTGGAGCAGGCTGCGAACTGGTATCGCCTCTCAGCCGAGCAAGGCAATGCCGATGCTCAGTTCAATCTTGGCTATCTCTACTTCCATGGGAGGGGTGTTCCCAAGGACGACGTGGAGACAGTCAAATGGTACCGCAAGGCGGCTGATCAGGGCTATGCGAGAGCGCAGACGAATCTAGGGTTCTGCTATGAGCACGGCGCAGGTTTGCCGAAGGATGAAGTCGAGGCGGTGAAGTGGTACAGAAGGGCGGCGGAACAAGGGTACGCCCAGGCGCAGCATAATATGGGCTGGTGCTGCATTAAAGGGATCGGCGTCGCGCAAGACTACGCAGAAGCAGCGAGATGGTACAAGATGGCCGCGGAACAAAGCTTCCCTGATGCGCAGTGCAACTTAGGCATGTGTTATCGAGATGGGCAGGGAGTGCCAAAGGACCTCGGGAAAGCGGAGGAATGGTTCCGGAAAAGCGCTGACCAGGGCTTCAAGGGGGCACAAAGGAACCTGGGCTTCCTGCTGCATGAGAAATCAAAAGGTAAAATTAAAAAAAATTAAAAAAAAATTAGTCGGAGCGATGACGTTGTAAGCCAGGCGTGCTTCTAAGCTGTTAGTACGTTTCTTCCTTCGGTCGGTCGATTTTGACTTTGTTGTTTACATTCTCTGCTCTTATCTGTTTCTTCTGTCATGGTTTGCTTGTGATCGAATATGTTCATGCTTTGGAATCCCTTTTTTTTTTTTTTTTTTTTTTTTTTTTTTTTTTTT